TCAGGATGCATGGATTGTGTCCATCCGCAGCGCTTCCACCACTGGTTGTTTTCTTTCTGATTCGATAGCTACCGATCACCTTTGGTAGAAGATGCAGCTCGAGGCGTGCTCAATTCGCCCTTCCTGACGCCTACACCCTCCCCCCCCCCCCTTGCGGACATTATCGACTATAAATTCAACAAACAAACATACTTGTAAAACGGTGTATCGCCCTATGGTTGACGTACTTTAGCAGAATAATTTGTGAAGAGCCAAATAATGGAACGGATCAGATCCAACTAGATATAGCCCAGGAGCCCATGGGCAGGTCCAATTTTATTTTTACGCCACCGTAACTGACGCGCTAGAAAGTTTGCAGACATGACTCACGGCCTTGCTCGCCGCGGATGCTGGGGCGTGTCAGGGAGCTGGGCTGAGACGGCGCCAACCCGTTCTCCACCAATCGTGGTCTCTTGCCAGCTTTCACACTTTGTGGAGAGCTGCCAAACCCAGCCTCCCTGGAACGCCCTAGAATCCGCAGTGAACAAGACTGTATTCTTCTGCCGAAAACTTTGTGTAGGGCAACATTCGACACAGAAAACCTGTTAAACAGATGAGAGAACAGGGTTCTGAAACATCTGTGAGTCAGCAAACACGTAATGCTTCAGGAGTACGAAGTAAACGATCAGCTGAAGTGCAGATGCCACCGTTGACCGTACCTGCACCGCCACATCAACCGCATTTACTCAGTGCTCATTGTACTTAATGGCTGTGCTCGGGTATTCTTCCGAAACGGGTTGTCAGGGTCAATAAGCGCACGAACCATGCGCAGGGCATGCCATCATGTTATAGAAAGTTTCTGCAAGCGCAGTTCGGTTTGGAGGGGGAATATTGCTGGTTCCCATGTCTACCACTGACGATTCTACCCGTGAGGATCTGTAAATTCCTGTAAAGCTGTGCTATAGCAGGAGCTTCGTCTGCAGGATCCCATGGGTCCTCCCTAATTGTAAGTGCGCCTTCTGGGTCAACTGCACTAGCAAAAGGAACTGGAGAAAGTGCAAGATGCCCATCCAAAGCCGAACTCTGTCTTTTTCAAAATACGATCTCTCCAAATTTGCTCCCCAGGTGCGACACCCTCACTCAGTCTCCCCTGCCATCTTCCATACTTCTTGCAAAATTTTGCCGGAGCGCGAGGGGAAGGGGTTGGGGAGGTACCCTCCACCAACAAGCAGATAGTATTTTCACTGCGCCATAAAACGAAGTATACTGGGTCCAGAGCGCGTGTGCATCAGGAGAAAACAAAAGCTATAAAGAATCCATGACCCTGACAAAAAATGACCCCCTCCGTCTCCCAAGCGACCAGATAAACCCCCGCTGTGGTGTTTTAGAGCCCTGACCATTCTTGCTGTCGTTATGTTATGCCAGAATCCTCATGCACCAGGAATGGATAACATTTCACCATTACAGACACCGCCAGCAGCTCATCTCAGCCACAGACCAGTGAGGTCGTTTACGATCGCGATCATCCACCAGCGAAAGTCGCTCAAGAGGGTCCACGACCGATCATGCCTCGCAACAACGGTTTATGTGAGTTCTGAGCTTCAGAAGCTTCCTAAAGCTCTTTCCTTCACATCCAAAACATTGAAGTGCCTCACCAGAGGTCAATGGGAGGTTACAGTTCAGCTGTAGTTTGAAAAGTGCAACGGGCAAGTTACAGTTAGACTGTATCACCTGTATCACCTGTGCTCCCGTTGATCATCGAGTTCCTCGAGCGGGCGCCAGTAACGTCTCCATTCGTCCCTGCAACGTGCAAGAGTTGCCCAATGAACTCTCTCAGCTCGAGGGACACGATGAACTTCATACCATTCGTTCAGAGCTTTCACGAAGAAGTCTGACCATCGCGTAGGCGGTCTTCCAGGCGTTCGCTTGACATCCCGTGGAATCCAGTCGGTGACTGCTCTGGTCCAGCGGTCGTCCTCGAAACGCATGACGTGTCCGGCCCACCTGATCTTCGAAGCCTTGGCAAATGCGGCGGCGTCTCTGATCTTCGATCGTTGGCGGAGTGCGGAGCTCCGGATTCCCTCTCTCACTTGCGTGTAGCGGGAAACTCCGAGCATCGCCCTTTCGATGGCGCGTTGAATAACACCGACCGCATGCTCATCCTGCTTTCGTAGAGTCCAAGTCTCTGAGGCGTACGTCAAGGCAGGAAGGACCGCGGAATCGAAGAGGTGGGCACGGAGCTTGGTGTTCTTCGTCTTCTTCGCTACTCCCTCGATGTTCTTGAAGGCTCCCCAAGCCGCTCGCTTCCTCCTGCTCAGCTCTGGAGCTAGGTCATTCATCATATTGATTTCACGACCTAGGTACACATAGCTAGAGCATTCAGAGATGGTCGTTCCGTTGAGCGTGAATGGGGCATCAGATACCAATCCGTTTCTCATGAACATCGTCTTCGTTAGGTTCAGCCGTAGACCGATTCTTCCACACGCGCAGTCGAATTCAGCCAGCATTCGTTCCGCTTGCTCGATGTTTGGCGTTATCAAAACGATGTCGTCAGCAAAGCGGAGATGGTGTAGTTGCCGACCGTCGATCTTCACTCCCATGTCTTCCCATTCCAGTTGACGCATGACGTTCTCGAGAGAGGCGCTGAAGAGCTTGGGCGAGATGGTGTCGCCCTGTCGGACCCCTCTCTTGACATCAATGATGATCTCCTTGTAGAATGGTGAAATCTTGGTCGTGAAGTTGCTGTAGAGCTCACGAAGAATCCTGATGTACTGAGTAGGAATACCCTGGTTGCCCAGGGCTTCGATAACCGCTTCTGTCTCAACGGAGTCGAAGGCCTTCTTCAAGTCGATGAACGTGAGACATAACGGCATCTTGTACTCTCGCGATACTTCAATGAGCTTCGTTACCGTGTGGATGTTTTGATCGGATCGGTGCTTGAATATCCCTTTATCGACAAACCGCCTGCTGCTCGCATGGCGCCTGCTCGTAGGTTCTGCAATCATATTCATGGCTATGACTCGTGTGAAGAGTTTGTGTAGACTACCAGACAGCAAGTCGCAGATTTGGGCGTTCCATATAGATTCCAACGTGTTCGCGTACAGATCTCCCTTCTTGTACAGCAAAGCATCAGCTCTGTTTCACGAGTGTGCGGTACCTTGCATTTCCGACACGGTAAGCCGCCGTGAAGAGTCGAGCCAGAGTTTTTGCACGAGAACTGTGCGCGGAGATTCTTCAGTGTTCGGGTTCTGAATCCTGTGCGGGACGAGCGTGCCTCTACGATTCTTCACCTGACAAGGATGGGTTCAGTGTCGTGTCGGACTTGCGCGAAGGACGAAACTCGTCCTTCAGAAGAACATATTCTATCCTGCTCCAAGCGGTATGGTTGCAGGTGGACGTGGCTGTCAAAGAGATCCGAGTAGAAGTCGTGGATGACCTTCTCCATTGCCCTTCTGGATGCGGTGATTGTTCCATCCGGACGTCGGAGGGCGGTCATCTTAGTCTTACAGTTGGCGAAGTCGCGGGCCAGGGGCCGTTGCGATACGCTCTCCTCAAGCCTCCTGCGGCTTCCCACCAGCACTGCTGTCTCTCTCTCCTTGAGGTCTTCCTTTATCGCTTCTCTGCATAGCTTCGCAAGCTCAGACGTCAGCTGGTAATTGCCTGCGGCTCGTGCGGCTCCACGTTGGCGAATCAGCTCGAGAGTTCCCAGAGATAGACGCTTCTTAGTCATCTTGGAACCCTCTGACCTCTTGGCGCAGTCGTGAAGATGTGCAACAAGCCGTTCGTATTCCTCGTCGATGTTGTCAATGACAGAATCCTCCCAGAGCCCAGCGAGAGAAGTGAAGTGATCCCAGTTGATGGTGGTCTTGGGGCTTCGCTTCTTGAACTTTGCGGCTCTCTCTCCTCGCATCGAAAAGCGGAATCTTGCGCGAAGGAGACGATGGTCGGATCCCGGTGCTTAGAATTAGCGCGACAACAGCACATCCGTTCAGGACAAAACCTTCGATTGAGATGATGTGGGTCCGATCTCGTTATGGAATTGTCCACCAGGAGACTCCCATGTCCAGCGTAGAGAGTAGGGCTTCTGGAACTGCGAGTTACCATGGATGGTGTGGGTCGACATGATAAACTCAGACAGCCTTTCACCCTGCTCATTCCACTCCGTTCCGTGAGTTCCGATGTGAAGTTCTTCAGCCGTTCTTCTTGGTCCGACTACTGAAATCACCGACGATGACCTTGAAGAAGGTATGATCTTCCTTGTAGAACTTCTCCAATTCCATATAGAACGCTTCGAGCTCATCCTCGTCGTAGCTTGATGTTGGTGCGTAGGCGACGAAGATTGTCAAAGCTGGAGTTGAACCACATCTTCTCAATCGCAAACGTCCGATTCGGGTCGTCAGACTTCGTACGAATCGATGTTCATGGCCAAGTGCGTGTTGACGAGGACGCCCACACCGCCAACGCCTCTGCTGTCGCATGTTCCAAGGAACAGTTCTTCTCCAGTCTCGTACACGGCGTGTAGCGGGCGATGCCTCCTCGTCTCGGTCAGTCCGATGACGTCTTTGCTACTTGACTTTCGGCTTGGAACAGTCAGATCTTCTATGTAGAGCTTCCGTTGCAAGCGTCGGTGCGTTGAAAATGTACAGATTCTACCCCACCTCCTAGTCGCTGGGGCGACGGCAAAACTCCGTTGGCCCTGTTGATTTTTAGCAGCCTCCGTCCGAAGCCGTCCACCGCGACGTCGCCCTGTCGTGGTTCCCTCAGCTTCAGGGGAATGAGGCCCATAGTTGTTACTGTTTTCGGCGAGAAGAAAATTGACCACGCGTAGCTCGCCAGGCTCTAACGTGGCACCCTCCGCATTGGTACGTTTTTGGAACAGTCCAAAACCGTTCACCCCCACGCCACGATGAGGCTGCGGATAGGATTTGTGGGGAGTTCGGCTGTAGCTTTTGAAAAAATGCAACGATACTTTCCTATCTATCTCTATCTAGATATCTCTGAATTCAGTGGATTCGGCGTTGATGGCACCTCTTCACGCTATGGATTGCATCGACGTGTTGGTCGGTGCAGTTCGAGATGGCCGTACCCGAGTGCAGGACTCATATTCTAGAGATCGATCAACACCTCTGGAGGATTATAGTGGGTTCTGCGCATGCTTCAAGCAACTCATCAACAGCAGAAGCTAGCGAGGATTTCCCAGTTTGGACGTCTATGATTACAAAGCGTTACCGACATTGGACCAGCCATGTGAATTACCCCTTCATGGATAAATTGTCTCTTTTCCTGAAATTTTTTAGGGGCTTAAATGTTACAGGTCGGAACTCAGTATGCTGCCTTGTTTGCTAGGCAGTTCGGCGGCGGGGGGTGTGGGGACAGGGCCGGGGATGGGGGAGGGCGTTTTTGCGCAGTTGCTGCCTACTTTCCCATCAACGACGAGCCTTCCCTTAAGTTTCACACGTTTCACCACCAGTGGAGACCATCTAAACCCGCGAACTTGAGTGAAGCAGTTAGAAGTACACATAATCCACCCGCGTGTTCGCCGTAAGTGCGCCCTGCTTTGCTGCGGATGAGTGCTTGCGGTGAGGGTGGATTCTGACCTCGTTCACTCGTTGAAGCGGCTGTAAGCGACAGCAGTTTGGAACAGCACCGACTCATACCGAATGGATCTTGCCCTTCGCCGTAAAGAAAAGCGAGCCTGGACGCGCGCCAAAATCCGGGTGCCCGTGACACGCATCCGCCCGTGAACAGATTGCAGAGGGATGATGAAACGATCTCTCACATCCAACATAGGCTGACTTATCAGGGCATACCACAATAAAGAAATATTTTCCTCAATACGACCCATCTCCCATTCCCTCCCCTTCAATGCGGTCTTCCCCAATCGTCAACGTAGAAAGAGCAGCGTCACCCTTTCAGCGTGTGGTGCGCCCTGATGCCTGAGCCCGAAACACTTCTTCTTCTTGGCGTCTGCTGGAATATTTGCGGAATAGTTACGATTATTGCTTTACCTTTCCCTGACCAGCGCTAAACGTTCTGTTCCAGGCTATGAAGGCCGAGATTGTCGCTTGTGTGCATGCAGCGCTGGACGCGAAGCAGGTGGATGGTGACGACAACGATCATCATGTTTCCACGTCTAATACAAGGTCATGGACGTATATTAGGCAGTGTTTGGCTTAGGAGGGGGCATTTTGCCACTCTTTGCTAGTTCTTCCTGTCGTCAGTTAGTCATGAACGGACCTGTCAAAAACCTTCGTGCTGAAACTGCAAAACGATGCAGCGTAATCCACTATTATCACAGGAATTTACAGATTCTGAAAAATGGTACAAGCTCTGTTAAGGCCTAGTTATGCCAGCATTTTAGTGCCGCCCACTGAGCCCAAACAGCGCTCTACTGTTTCCTTTACATCGAATATCATTCAAATACATCAAGACTTCGTTATCCTATCCTCATTTACGAAAGATCGCGAGAAGTGTAGATCACTTCCAGGCTTCATCGCTTTCTCAGAATTAAGGTAGTCCTAGGGGTACTTACTCGGAGCCATTGCCCCAAGCTCATTTCTTGAGGACACATTCCGCGATGACCGGAGGGGCGGAGACTCATACTCAGTGTACCTCCCCTCAGTGGAGCTCCCCTCCTCGAAGGGCAGCTCTCCCTCATTGGCGCCCCTTCTTATTGGGAAAAGCGCGCTGATGACATAGAGTGGATGTGAGTCCCCGCTGATACTTTTATCACGTAGTAGTATGTCTTAAAATTTTTTACACTCGAGATTTCCGATTTCTATGGCCACATTATGATCTTCAGTACTTCAGTCAGACTACTAATTGAGATCATTTGCAGAGATCGAACCCACGGATCATCCCTTGGGTCCAGGACGGATGTTCGTTGTATGGGCCAAGGGTCAGCAACAGGGAGCTTATGCTCACGGTGCCCCGTCAGCGCTCGAAAGTTCCAACTCCAAAGAGCCTTTCTACATGGATGACATTCTCAAGTATCATGGAAGTAGGTGAAATTCACTGCTAATGTCCATGTCACGGTTAATTTCTTTCTTTCAGGCAAGAATCGCGGTGTCCATCCGATTGACTTCACGACACCGGTGAAATTGCCGAAACCAGGCGATGCAGCATTTGGGGTCAACATTGCTGCCGGTGAGTGTACTTCAATCATGTTCGTCGTTCTCTTCTCGTCATAGCGATATTAGTCAAGGGGCGTGACTTTTCCCGGTGGGCGGGCCGCTTGGGTGTCACCGAATGTTGGCACCCTTGTTGAGTGGCTGAATCGATGCAGCTTCCATTCCTGCGCAGTGTTGAACTTACCAAGAGGAGTGATCCATTCAACATATCGTACATGCCATTTTAATTTTTCATCTGCCTTATTTTCTCCCGTGGAACTGCCCAAAAAACTTTCACTTAGGTGAACCAGCCCATCAGCACCAACAGAGCATTACATCGTCGAGAAACGTTTCATCACCATCAACACCATCAACAGCTGCCAAAACAACGATGGCACCTCCCTACCTTCAAGAAATCGACGACTCATCCACACGAGTCTCTTCGATTCTCATCGTTTTTGTTACTGCCTTCATTGTATTATATTAAATATTTTTGTCCATAAGATAAGGAATAAAGGTTGTTTAGTTCTAGACACTTGTGTAAATCAGAAGGTAACTTCGCCGTTACAGCCAAAGTACAGTCACCCAAGGCGGCGTCTGATAAATTGTAAATCCGCATTGGATACACGTACAACACTGTACATTACGCTAGTATCGCAACCACAATGACGCGAAAATTACACATGCACTCAAAACTCCCGATATGCAGTGGGCGTGGCTGCGTACTTCCTAAGCGTAGCGATAGCTGTGCTTCTGGTGTGATATGTTAATTTTGACGCAATTGTGGCTATGCCTCTGTCCATCACTAACAAGGTGACAGTTGTCTCAAACTGAAATATCCCACGAGTAACCCAATCTACTCAATCTCAGCGATGAGGTGTACTGTACTGTTCAGAGATGGACGGGAACTCTTCAACCGGTGCTTTCTTTGGTCCCCAAATCGAAGTTCTAACTGGCAGAGGCACACCCTAACACATTAGGTGAACTACACTTACAATGCTTCCCTTCCAACTATTTGCAACCATACAATAACTGCATGGATACGATCAGTAAGATTTACTTTCACTTCCTTCAGATCGATCTTTTCATAAGTGCTGTATAACGGCACAGTTCGCGCTCAAAAAGTTGCCGCAAGAATGCTGAGTTATGGGCAAAAGCCTCTACCCCAGGCGAGCCTCAAACCCCCAGCTAACGCTTTCTTAGCAAGAGCGCTTCCCGTTACGCCGTCCGTCAGAGCCGCTCTTACGACTCGTCAAATGTGTGAGTGCCGTAAGGCTACGGCATGTAAGTCGTCAGGCTGAGAGCGTAGAAGTGGATCTGGTGGCGCAACGCATAGAGCACTTGTTCTCCGGAAAGCTTGGGGTGCTGGTTCGAGACCCCTTTGGGATCAGCAATTTTGCCAATAACTCAGCTTTCTTGTGGTGCCTTTCACAAGTGTTTCCCGAAACCCACTGCTTGGAAATTCATTGAACACCTAATGGTTGGAAAAGCGAACATCGCCACTATCACAGCCTCTAAGCGTCAAAAAACCATCCTGATCACCATTTTCGTGACCGCACCAGTCTGACGCAACCACCTTTCACGCTTATTTCGCTATGAACCTACCAGGAAAGGTGAACAGGTCAGTCCTGCCATTTGTAATGAGGTGTATACTTGTAGACGCGGCTTGAAGTTCGGAGCCAAATCTGCTCCCCGAATTTTGCGCAACGATGTTAAGGATCTCATGCGGCAGCAACCTTCAGTTCTTCTACATTTTTGAGGTGAACTGTTGGAGAAGTGCCGATTGCATGTGTTTGGTGGCCTAGTGGATAGGTGCGTCAGCCAATAGGAATGAGGTCAATGGTTCGAGTCCTGCTCAACTGTCTCGATTTGATTCTTTTTCATGACTCTTAGTATGAGTCCAGAAAGTGATCGTCCTTTCAAATCGCCGAGAGGCGAGTGATTCTATCGTGAGCCAGTGAAGTCTCACCGCTCACGTAGCGTGCGGCGAGTCGCGCGGCAAGGTCAGAGTCGCACTACGGTTTACACACCAGTTAACAGTTGAGGCAAGGTGTTTGGCCTCGTCACGGCTCTGGTAATCTGAACGAGCCGTTGGACAACACAGCTCGTACGCGAAGGTTGCGGCATCGCAGGCCACGCCCAGCGCGGCGACCCACGTTCAGAGAAGGCAAATCGCAGAACCCTGTTGTGTTATCGTCCAAGGGACATATAGAAGCGTCTAACTAGGGGGTTTGAGAGATTATAACTCATCATTATAAGTAAGCAGCTCATGCAGCCATGTGTAGAATCTCCAGAATCACCCTAATTTAATTCTCGCAGACGTTTGAGTTGGGAAATAAGGCGCTGGCGCCAATAACGCGCAAAATGGGCAAAAAGCTCTGACCCAAAACCACAATTTCAACAAAACGATTTATATAGTCAGTTCTCAACAAATTTCAGTAAAACAATAAAATCACCATTCCTCGATAGACTAACAGAGAAGTTTAACACTTGTAATCCCAAATCCCATGCCCCGATTGTAAAATTCAATTGTCGTCCGAATCTCCTCCTTGCCCATCGCTATCTTCTTGCTCGCTTTCGAATGTTCCCTCAGGAAGTGAGTACAGTCGTATAACAGGTGACTGAGGATCTTTCATCAGCAGGTACTTGCCTTGCGGTTGACGCCATAGCAACTGAAAAAGACATGAATTTAACTATTCACAATTCTATGGAAGTTGCTCAGGAGATCCGAGTGCAGGCAAGGCGCCAACTAGCTAGTATTCCTAGCTAGCTGACCCGATCTAACACTAACCTGTCAATCACGCATCGCAGTATACCCCATCCATTGTCCATATTCATCGATATATTCTGGAGCGAATTCGACCGGCCGTAGCTGTTGCGTGCCCAGAATCAAATGCTGGGCGCTGTTACGGACGGAAACACGCGACACATAGCCAAATTTGATAGCGTCCGAATTGGCCAGAAGTGCCTAAACTTGCCTCTATACACTATATGCTCAGGGCTGGTAAAAAAGTTAATTGCTTGCAACTAAACACCACTTCCCGAAAATGGAGAGGGCGTGGCTGCGTGCCCTATTTGAAGTGCCGATGGCTTATGGTTCAACAGTACCCTTCGGACGGCTGTAGTAAATGTCTACGGGCGCAGGGGGGCAGGATGAAAGTGGACTCGGATGGAAATTTCCCTCGGAAAGCATCCTACGCCCTTCTAGATGATGCATGCAGCCACGCCCTCTACATTTTCGGGAGATGGAGTTTTAAAGAGGCGAATCCTAGCCAAATGCGCCTAACATCAACTCACCTGCACTGTCCATTTCGCCAGTTTGCAGCTGTTGTTCTTGATCTCTGTCGCCAGAACAGCTCCCTTCTGTCCATCTAACTTTACTCTGTAAAGCGAAATTTATTCCAGGAGAACCACCCCCCCCCACACACACACACATACACACCATACACACACATACACACCAAGACTTCACTGCCGTATTACCTCCAATCAACTCCGCCTGACTGAGAACTATCCCATTCATTAAATGATTTTATCGTTAGGAATTGCACATCTCCGGATGGACCGGCCTGAAATGACGCAGATTCGATCGTGCTACAGTCCGCCCTAAGATTCAAGACAAACATACCATGACTCCATCATGTTCAGTGCGGCAAACAACTTCGATTGGCTTGCCATTGGCATTCTTTCCAAGAGTCCATTTACGATACCTGAAAGCAAATAAATGGACCATTTAAGTCCCCCTCGACCATCTGACGGCTACAATGACTCTGACCAAAAAAATTAGGTGTGAAAGGGGGTCAATTTGAAAACAGTGGGGTCATACTTGCTCCTTGCTTTGAGAGGGGTGGGAGGGATGGCCTTTTTCAGGCCTCAGGCAATTTTTTCTCGTGCCGAGTAAACTTCGCCCTCCATTCGCCTTTTACACTTTCGACCTTTGGCTGATCATATTAGAAACTTACCGATAACCGCAACCCGATTCGCCTCCTTCTTCTTCAAAAGGCGCTCGGGGATGTGCCATGACGTAAGGATGTTCATTACGCTTCAACACTTGACGTCGGAAGTTTTGATTGATGAACAACGCTTCTGTAGCCAAATCCTAAACAACAAGCTCGCAATCCCACAGAACTACGCTGTCAAGTCAATTTGCACAATCAGTCCAGTGCTGACGACCACTAACTGTGAAGAATCTGGAGGAAACCGAAAAACTGGACAAACCTTGGCATTGTTGATACCAGCACCCTCGAATGACGGTGGATCACCACTCGTTTCAGATACAGTCAACGCATCAACTGGATTTGATATACCACCTGTATCTCGTTTATCCAGGAACAGCTTATCGCCTACACGATGTGCCACAATATCCCACGAGTATACCTAAACATCATTCGTTGATTGGACCTGGGGAAATTTTCTCTGATTGCTTTTT